GAAGAAGCAGAATATGAGGAGGACAAGGAGGTAGATGGCGAGGAAGACGGCACAGAAGAGACAGAGAAGAAGATCAAGAAGGCCAGAGGCCGACCTAGAAAAGACACACATGTTGAGAAGGTGAGCAAGAAGGCAAAGACTCTTACTGAGGTTGAGAAGGAGCCAGAAGTTGAGAAGAAGGCCAGAGGAAAGAAGAAGGACAATGGGTCCAAGACTGCTGCAGAGAAGAAAAAGGAGATGAAGAAGCCAAAGGGCTCAGGCAAAGAGAAGGCAACTCCGAAGAGAAAGGCAGCAAAGGAAAGTTGCAAGACGGCTAAGAAGGCAAAGCAGGCAGAAGGACAGCAGGCACATGTAGAGCAAGAGGAGCCAGAGGAACGAGAGGGAGCAGAGCCGGCAGTGGGCAGACCAATGAGCCGAGATGTCTCAGCAGCGGAAGAGAAAAAGAAAAAGCTCTCGAGAAAATCTTCGGCCTACCATGTGGCGTTAAGGCGAGCAAAGCTCGCAGGCAAGAGTGAGAAGGAATGCAAAGAAGAAGCCAAGAAGGTGGGTCCAGTTGAATGGGAAAAAGGGTTGGGGGTTTGGACTACTTTCAAATCTGCAGTGCACCACTTTTACCCTGATTTATTGTACCCTTATATATACATATATATATATATACACACCCATTATATATAATATATATATATATATATAAATATAAATGACATTCCACAGCCTTACCACTCATGTATCCATTGCTGCCAGGCCTACGCATCTACGAACTGATCGAAGGGCTTGGATCCAATTGGACCCTCGTGTGGGGTTTTTTCGGGGAGTGGTGTCTGAAAGGACATGACCATTTCCATATCTCCTAGAGGAATGCCAAGGCTGAATCTGCACTGGCACCTAGGTTTTATGGCTCGGGGTAACCTTGCTTTTAGTGCAGGGACGCAATATGGTGTGACCATTGACCATTCATCAACCAAGTCCAAGCTTTGAAAAAGTGCATACTGATGCTTCAAATGGGGGATAAACATAAAAACATGAAATATACAATCCTACAGGGTTCACCCGCATGCCAGGTCAAGCCATGGCGTGGAAATCTCGAGTCATGATGATGGCAGGTGCCTACTACCCCCTTGGCTCTGGGAGGGTGTGGGCCATCCAGTTTTTTGAGTGAGAACATACATACATATAGTTCACTAGAAAGACGGATATGCATACATGATCATACATGAATGGACACAAAATAATTTGTGAAAATAATGGGAATCCTGGTATGTCAGTGGTCTGAAGTGGACATTTAACCTATTCCACGCAGCTGTTTCTTCCCAAGGGCCCCCATTTCCATATATGAGGTATGGACAGGTTCCAAATGCTATCGGAGCCAAGCACTGCTTACAACTTAATGGAAATGGGTGCACCAAAAACTTTGGTTGCCGTCGTCATTTGACTGCAATAAAAATACATACATGCATGCATGAAATATCCAATAAACAGATATATAGGAAAATCCCTCTGCCCAAAAACTCAGGTATTGCTGCTTGGGTGGTGCACTGATTTCGAGAAGATTGGCCCCGTCAACCTCTTTGAGATCTTCAGTGGAGTTGCCAACACTACGAAACATTGGCAACTTGCAAACAATTATATATACGTACATGGTACTAGGTATAAAAGAGATCCCGTTGAATTAGATTACAGGCCCAGTAGACAGAAAGATATACCGAGATGAATTCACTCATGGGAAACGAATCAAATTGGTACGTATCAATCAAGTATCTCACGTATCTCTTTCTAGTATAACTATCCCTATCTAGCCTTTCTAAACATCATATATGTATATGTCTATACTCTAGTTCTACATATATATAATCTATCTATCCATCCATCCATCTATCTATATCTATCTACCTCTCTGTCGATCCATCCATCTATCGTATCTTAAGTTGATATAATACATAAAAACATTTATATATATGCACCTATATATCTTAACTACATATATATCTACATGATATTACGTACCTTAATATCATATTCGATCTCAGCCTCCATGTCCCGCAGGCACAAGTCTGGCCTGAAATGTGCATCATTTGATTGCACTTACTCGGCTAAGACACCGTGCAATCCAATGGATTTTTTGCACCCAGCTGGTCTTCTGCACCTCGGCATGCATTAGAAGGTGAAAATCTGTTGGGTAGGGATCAGAAGTGGGGAAGATTGCTAGGGCTAGGGCCAGGGGGTCAACAAATGCAATCGCATGGAAGAGAATCGGGCATTATGGAAAACATGGACAACAGTTGTCATGAGGCTATGCCTATGGGTGATTATGCAGGAGCTCCCCAATGCGATGAACCTTGTTGCCCCTGATTGCGGAAGCTGGGGCGTTCCATCACGAGGGACATCTGGGCGGTGCTACCACAATTACCAGGGCATGACTGTCTTCAAATTTGTGTCCAATGGAAATCTTATGATTTCACGGTGTCTTGAATGTCAACAATTTCAGATGTGGTCAGTTCGTTGTTAAATTAATACTAATTCAATCCCATGATACATTCCTGCAACTAAGGCTCATATTGTGCTGTTTGGTGATTTTGGCGCGAAGAGCCATCTTTGTATTGGAGAATCCTCAAGGGTCACTCATGTATCGTCACCATCGGTTTGAATACTTGGCCAACCTCGTTGCTTATGTCCTTCACTTAATTTGGGCTGAGGTGTTCTGATTTGAAATCAATATTGGCTACCAGCTACAAGTTATACCTGCTTCCAGCAATTGGTGCCTGAGGTTTATCGTCAGCCATTCTGGCTGGGATTACTGGGTGCTGGCACGCCCAAGCGTTTGATAGCTTGGTCGAATGACAAGTTGATTTCAGCCCTAGACATGGGGAAACTGTGTCGTGAAAAGAAGAAAGCCCTTTGCAAGGGACCCAAAACCACCCGCTACTTGGCTCCACAAACCTAGATCGAATGCATGCATGCATGGACATGATCCAATATATTAATTGGTACTATATTTTTTTTTCCTATGCCAGCCTAGGTCGCTATGTGGATTCCAGTGGCAGGGCCCGATTTGTTGGAGTGAAATCAGCCCTCAAAAAATCTCAGACCCTTGGTAGCAGGAAACAGATTATATAGGTTAATTCATAGCGGCATTGCCAGCATACATTTAAAAACTTGGTTTGCTGACCAACTCAGGGAATATCCTACAGGGTTTGGGAAGCGACTCCTTGAAGCCTACCATAAAGCCTGCTCTGAGCCTCCTCGCCAAGATCTTCGTCGCAAATTTGCCTTGGATGCCAAGATGACCGACAAGGAACTTTTTCGTGACTACCCATGTAACCCTGACCAATGGTTTGACGCTAAGCTACCAGAGGTGTTTTGGTATCTAGCAGGATCCCGATCCCTTCGAATCCCAGACAGTTGGGTGAATGTCATGGCTGACTTCAAGAAACAGCTGAATCAACGATGCGCCCCTCAACTATATATAGTACTTTTTCCCAACATTTGACATTGCCTTAAACCAGTAATGATTCTCCTATAGCTTTCCATGACAGCAAATATGAAATGGGATGTAGAGGTCCTATGGAAGATTTGAAAACAGACTAGGGCACCAGGATGGAAACCAAACCGTAGCCCAGGTTGAACACAACGTTAACGAGCACAGTGTGGAAGCTTGAGGGGCCACCCTGGATTGAGGGTGGATGTTTGCACAATATGTGCAATGCTTTCGACATGGGGTAAAAATGGCAAAAAGAAAACAGCTGTGAGGGTTTGCTGGTTTTTTCGTGCAGAAATCAAAGTGCAAAACGGCCGCAAATTTCCACAAAATGGCCGCAAATTTCCGCAAAACGAGCGCAAATCCAAAAAGAGGTACATTCAGATTTTACCCATATAGCTTGTGGCTGGTAGTCTTGTGAGTGTGTAGGGGTTCTTCCAGTCATGATGTGCCAGTTCAAAATGAAATCATATACATTTTGCAGGATTTTGGCTAGAGGTCTTGTGACTTGTGCTTGCAGTCATAGATTTGCCATGCTGTCCCGTCAATGGAGCAGTAACACGTTGAAGTATGGGATTGACCTCCTGGAATCTCAATGTACTGAACCCCCAACTCGCATCACTGACTTGGAAGAGATGATTCGAGCCATCTGGATCAATATACGTAATCAGATTGCAATGTTTTTTTTAAAAAAAAATTGGGTCTTTGGGAGCTGTGTTGCCAATTAAGGTTCAAGAAGAACGCATTCGACGAATGCAGACCGAGATGGAGGACCAGTACCGGGCACCAACGGAACTGGAGAGTGACAGTCGTGGAGACCCAGGCTCAACATATCCCACACTCCACACACTATAGCTTGTATACATAGTAGACTTATATATAACACGATATTTTTTTGGCCTACTGGATTTGAATCCCCACTTTAGGTCAACAAACACATACGAGGTGAAAATCACTTTGCGGAAGCTGATGGCTCCTTTATGGCTGGCAAGAAAGCTCGAGGACTTGAACATTTGTCGAACCCTGCTACGCCCCCCCAGCCTACAGGGAGATCAGGGAGATCCACATCTATGGTCACTGAAGGGTCGGTTGAACAGCAGTACTGGCAGGATGCCCAATCTAGGAACACTACTCCAGCTCCATCCCCAGCCGTAAGTATGGAGGGCACGGTTCCCACCAAGAAGACCACAGTTGCTTTGGGAGGGTCAATCAACAATCCTATCTTTGTGCAACGGGAGATCCCGGAAAAGAAGGGAACCCCCAAAGAGAACCATGACCCTGACCGATCCCCATCAGCTACAACATATCAAGTACGTGGTGTTCGCAATGAGAAGTTTGACAAATACTACCACCAGATTTTCGGCTGCAAGAAAACAATCCCATATATATATAATATAATATATATATATTACAATTAGATGTTGCTGCCCATTTCATGCAGATGCAACCTTGTAAAATTATAGGCTACTACACCCCTGGCTCGCTCAGGATGCGACGTTACTTTCGCCCACGCAAAGATGGGAGCATGCAGGCTTCCAGTGAGGCCTTGCGCATGTGGCGCACCGAGTCTGGACGTTTTCTGGATTTAATCTTGGGTCACCATATTGATTGGGGTTAAATGGGGCTAACTGCACTTGATAAAAATATACCCCTGAAAAAGTAATAAAAACACTTATACCACCCGAAATCTATGTGATGAATAATTTATGCTATGTCTATATATTATACTTTCTCAGCCCAATGGAGCCATAGATCCTGTCAAATTGGGAAAAAAGGTGGATCCCATCAAATCAGCAAGGTCCTCCGTACATTGCAGAGGTGCAAATTGTCTTGGGGTCTTCTTGATATCTCAACTTAGGTTCCAAGCTCAAAGAGATGTTGATGCAACATGGGAATTTCAGCGCAGTGGAATGTGAAATCGTTCGCATCCAGAAGACCACCATGGACAATTCCAAGCAGGGTGGTTGGGTGACCCGTCACTTTCTCATCGGGGAAAAACATTGGACAAAGCTCAGCCCTAAGAATATACCATTGTGCATGCATATGCCAATGTTCTTTACTACCAGCATGTAGAACCAAACTAATACCACCAGCCCTTTATTAAGGCCGATGGTGGATGCTGCTGTGGATTGGGCGAAGAACCGAAACCTTTGGAGGGTTAACCCCATTCATAAGGAGGAAGAGATCAAGATCGTTGTGGAAGACTTTTTCAAGTACACGGATCAGCAGGCTTATGAAACTTCCCAACGTGGAACTATGGAAATGGAGGACCCTTGCTAACAATTGCTAACTTCATGTTGATAAACAAAACATGCATACATATTTGATTGTATATGTTGGTGAGTCCATCCCCAACCTGTCTTGTCAGTCTACCCTGCCTCCAGCTACTTCCCAGGATCCAGAGGGTGCTCTCCTGGAGAGTGGGGATTTGATCCCGGAACAGATGTCCAGGCTTCTTCCGGAAGTTGGGGATGATAAGACCCCGGAGGAAGAGGCACAGCCAGGTACAGGGGCCAGTTTCCGGTTCCCCAACTGCATTAATATATATATATATATATATGTATATATAATTATTATATAATTTCTTTATAAATATGTAATATATAGATATGATATAATATATTGTACTGTTCAGGGTCTCCCTACTGCACGTATGCACGTTTGGATTTCATCTTATACCTAAGGTTGGTGTTCCCGACGCTCCAGCAGAATTCATCACCCTTGAGCGTCATGACGGCTTTCATGGAAACTCTGGGGCGTAAGATTGACCAAGCAGATCGAGAGAAGGCTGGAATTTGTTTACCACGTGTACATAACAACCAATACATTTCCCATTTTGTCTCAACATAACTTGTTATGCCCAGGACAGGTTGTTGCAAAAGAAGACTGAGAAGGCTGACCAGAATCATAGCTGATTAGATAACAATTTGATTTTCATATGTTTTCAGATATTCATATAGCATGAGTTAACATACATGACTTTGCCCTAGGATTGTGAAGTCTTTGGCCAACCTGATCGACCTGCTGAACAAGGGTTACGATAACCTTTCGAAACTCCAGGGTGAAGCGTTGACGGGCTCGTGTTCATCTTAGCTTGCCTAGACTTTATTAGAGCACCTGTAGTGTCCTGCATATGTATATTAAACACTCCTCACATTGATACATGAGACTTAGGATTGAGGTTGGTGTCATCAAACAAGCCATGAATGACATCACGAAGACCGATGTGGCCATGAACAATATTTTGCTCCGTGCCAGGCATGACCTATATATAGTACGAAAAGGCTTTTTCATGCATGATGTTCTTAAACCTCGAACACCTTCCAAGCCCTGCAGGAACATCAAAGGCGGCCAGCCTCAGCGTGCTGACACTGTGAAGGCCGCGAAGCCGAAGGCCTCACCCAAGGTGAAGGCAAAGGCCAAGGACAAAGTCCCCAGAGTCAGAAAGGGATCAAAGGCAAAGTCTAAGGCCCGTAAGACCCATCCAAAGACCGAAGCCGAAGGCGATGATGAGTCTTGATTTTATTTTATGGCCAGGAAAATCTTGAAGCTATCGGGATCTTGAAACAGATCCATGGGTGTGCAAAGCATCTGTGTTGTTTTGACACAAGTGCAGCCAGTGACCAAACATGGGGAAACTTCGATGGTACAAAAAATGGATCTGTGTGCCAATGCTTGCGTGGTTGGCCTGAATCTACAGCTTCCCCAAAACAACTGTGAAATAATATTGGGATAAAAATCAGGAATTCTTCAAAGCACTTCCCCCCTCGCAGGTGCCTCGCAAATGGCGACAGTGGCAGCCAAAGATGAAGCAATCTCGGAAGGTACCTTGGGCTGGGGTTTCTTTGAAACTGGTTCCATGGTCAGGTGGCTGGAATACTGTAGTATTTACAATGTGCCCACTTGTTTTACTTAATCTACATAACCCCATTGGTTAAAAAAACAACTGAAGGCTGTGAGTCCAACAGTTCAACATGGACTATATATTCCTGAGTGCACAAGCGCACACCCATATTCTGTACATGCAGTATCCAGCTATTGACCAAATCTAATATCATGGATCTAATACATAACCCTTCTTAGGGGTGCAATCGATACAGTTGACCATAATATTAATATAATATACAATCCAAATGGGGTATAGCTGTTTTGACCATCGCTGTACATTTATAGAACTGCACCCCCAAGTTCCTATTTTGCCGGCAGGTGATGATGGTGACAGGTCGAGTGGGACACCATCAGATCTGGCTGATGAACTCTTGAGAGGTTTTGAGATTGGGGTTTCTTGGTCCCAGTTAATTTATTTTCCAGCGTTCACTGAAGGGGGAATCAAAACATAATCATGGGTTCTTTTTTTCTGGACCCAAAACGTCCACACATATACACTTGCAAAAAAAAATAGAGTCCCTATGTGTATATATATATATATATGTATTACATATATACATATATATATATATATGACCTGCAGCCTACACCGGCCTCCTTAGGCTGACAGTGCTTACCGTGTTGTTCGTCTAGCTCGTGTCGCTTCAAACCGGATGCGGCGGTTGGGTTCCCTGTCTCAGATTGGGATCAAAGTATATAAGATTGGGATCAAAGTGGAACAAACTAGTATGCATTCATTTGGTGAAGAAATAACTCACAACCATAAGGGATTTCTTTTGGGAAAAAACTTAGGTGCAAAAGACCCGATTCTGGACGAGATTGGGCGTTCAGGGAGTACATCACGGAAGTCCTACAGAAACATCTCCCGCAATTTTCACCGTCAGTTGTACAGACATGACAGGGTTTTACCAGTTAAGGTTTCTATGGTCCCTCTATGGGTATTGCAGCATAGACCAAAGGTCAAGGAGATCAAGCTGCGGTATCCTATGATTGCCCTCAAAGATTGGGCAATGTACTTGCTCAACCAGTGCGCACATCTGGTCTTGGGTGGATTCAAATTGACACAGTCTGCTGAGTTTACTGATATGTACAATAGATTTTGGATTCGGTACCAAAAATTGGACCCGTTACATCCGTTTTTTGAGCACCACCCCAGGTCAGCCTGGGGTAGGTGCATTCCATTCCTAGTGCATGGGGATGAGGGCCGTGGGAAAGCCAAGAATCCCATTTTAATTACCAGTTTCCAAATGATGATCGGACCCCAAGGAGAAGACACCACAAACATCTCAGGGTACCTTATATGTATACATGTGAGAACACCGTTTGACATATTTTGGTAATTTGGTGCATTCTGTATTTTTTTGGATTTAATTTTTAAGGGCTATCCTGTCTTCTCCATGTGCTTCCTCCCTCCAGCTTGCCGAGGCACTCAATGTGCTCCAGGCTTTTGGCCTCAATGATGCCAAGCAGCATGTACACCAAGAAGAACGGTGGTGAGAAAACATGGGATTCCATTGCAGAGTTTATGGTGGAAGATCTGACCTATTGCTTCTACAATGGTGTTCAGGTGTTGCCCTGAAAATTCAATCATATGTCATAGTCGCATATTTGTGTTATTTGCTATCCAAAGCCCCCAAAGTATGCTATTTTCTTGTCGAACCAACCTTCATACCCAAACAAGGTACGTGACCAAACATTCTACTTCATACTTATTGGAGTAAAAGGTGATTGGCCTTATGTGCGCAAACTGATGTGCCTGCGGACTGGTCCTACCAGCAAGTTGATCTGCCACTTCTGCAATGAACAGGTTTTTGGCTTCAATTTATCATTTACAGCTAGTATATAGCATATACATGATACAGCGTATAAGTTTGGTGTAGTTATTATGACCCCCCACAAAAATATGGATATCAATAAATATCACCTGGCACATTTCCTCTGAGGATTGGTGGCATCTAGGTCCTTCTGGATCGGTTGCAACTTGGAACTCTTCAGGACGCCCAGAGCATGACCCCTGGAAAAAAAAGGCTTCTCTCCTACGTCAAGTTCCTGGGGGTGAGGCTGCTTCGCGAATACGTTGCGATTTAGCTCACATTTGGGCTATTGGGGTGGGAAAAGAGTTTATTGGATCGGCTTTGCTACTCCTAGCGGGGGAGCTTCGAGTGTGGCCAGGGAGATCTCTAGGAGCAAGGCTTGATCACGCCTATGGCTTGTTCCGCACATGGTGTTCGAATAGCAAGCAAACCTGCAAAATCAATGAGTTCAGATTGAGAACCTTCAAGGTGACCTCGTCCCCCAGTTTTGCATGGATATTTTTTTGTGCTCTTGTGAGGATAAGCTGATAAGCTATATAATTTTGTTTGGAAAAATTGTGTTAGATCGATGTTAGCCTATCTGGGCGCTTGCTGGTAAGGTTGCTGCAGTACCCAAGCCTCAAAGGGCAGGGTCACGATTGCATTGTGCTTCACAAGTGGCTCTCACATGTTTGTGAGGAGATTCAGCGTGATGATTTGGAGCCGGGTTTGAATGTTAGGGCTGGGTGCTCGCAGTCCGGCCATGGTAGTTTTTGTTGGTGGGTAAGTATGTATGGTTTGGTCCCATGTTTTGTTCCCGAATTTAATGCTCCAACATATAGTTATTGCCCCCAAAATCTTTGGACATCTTTGGACTATATGTCTCACCTAACCTTGCTCAGGATCCACAACACTATCACCTCTTTGATGCTCTCAAGTACACCGCTGATTCTGGAAACCGGTGGTTTCGAAGTCTCTACCAGTTTGGAGTCTGGATGCCTGGGAATCAAGCAGGCCTTTTATCTGATGCTGCATTTGGTTTGACTGAAACTCAGCTAGTTATACAAGTTTGGGAACTTATTTGAAAACCTTACCCACCAGCACTCCTGGCATAAGTAGTACATTGTGTGAGCTAAGGAAGGGTACCAAGCCTTAGCAAGGATGTGCGCTACTGAACAGCTTGCCCTCTTTCGGGTGAAACCTAAGCTTCACCTTCATGATCATGTGGCGACACTAGGCTTTGAAGTTTAAGTGCTACGCGTTGTGCTTTACAAGTTGTTTGCGCAATGTTGCATATGTGTGGGTATGTAAAATTGCATGAGGTCAGATGTGAGGCACTATGGGGTTGAGGAGGAGTTTGAATTCCTCCTCAACCCCTTGAGTTCCTTGGCTTTTGCCAGGTAATTTTTAGGGCTTCAGTTTGGGAAAAGACAACAGAATTGAGACGCCAATTTGTTGCAGCTCTATCCTAGGCTTTGCGTGCTGGCAGGATGAAGATTTTGTTGGTCGCTGTGCGAGGGTGAGCCGACGAACCCATGCATTCACCACTTGCTTACGGTCATTCACTAGAATCCTCATGCAATACAAGCGTTTGTTTAGGTCCTAGATGCCACCAACCCTAATCGCAGACTGGTGTGGAAAAGGCAGCTGAGTGCCTGGCTGATGGCAATCTCTTCGCAATGAAGTGCACGTTGTTGAGTTGTGCTGGGAGGGGTTAAAAGGGATATTTAGATGATGTAATATTACTAAGGGTACCCCTCGAGCACTTTTTTGGGGATCGAGCATAAATTCCAACTTCGAGCGTTTTTATCTCAAAACGTACCTCATATTTCTCGTTACTTAAATTTAAGTATCATATGAAGCTCCTGGTAAAATCGCAATTTTTCCTCAGTTTTTGACGTCCAACGTCCATTTCGTGCGTAAGGGTTGCGATTGACAACTCACAGTCGCAATTTTTCCTCAGTTTTTGACGTCCAACGTCCATTTCGTGCGTAAGGGTTGCGCGGGACACTTCAAAGTCGCAATTTTTCCTCAGTTTTTAACGTCCAACGTCCATTTCGTGCGAAAGGGTTGCGCGCGACCAATAAAAGTTGCAATTTTTCCTCAGTTTTTGACGTCCAACGTCCATTTCGTGCGTAAGGGTTGCGCGGGACGCTTCAAAGTCGCAATTTTTCCTCAGTTTTTAACGTCCAACGTCCATTTCGTGCGAAAGGGTTGCGCGCGACCAATAAAAGTTGCAATTTTTCCTCAGTTTTTGACGTCCAACGTCCATTTCGTGCAAAAGGGTTGCGCGCGACCAATAAAAGTTGCAATTTTTCCTCAGTTTTTGGCGTCCAACGTCCATTTCGTGCGAAAGGGTTGCCGGCGACGCTTCAAAATCGCAATTTTACCTAGGTTTTGGACGTCCAACGTCCATTTCGTGCGAAAGGGTTGCGTTTCGTGGCGCTCCGGCGGCACCGCCCCCACCGCCCCCGCCTTAAGAGAGAATAGAAGAAGAGCGAGAGGAGATCTGCAGATGTGAAGGTCTGAAGATCTAGATCTGCAGGTGTGAGGGTGTGAAGATCTAGATCTGCAGATGTGAGGGTGTGAAGATCTAGATCTGCAGGTGTGAGGGTGTGAAGATCTAGATCTGCAGGTGTGAAGGTGTGAAGATGTAGATCTGCAGATGTGAGGGTGTGAAGATCTACATCTGCAGGTGTGAGGATGTGAAGATCTAGATCTGCAGGTGGGAGGGTGTGAAGATCTAGATCTGCAGATGTGAGGGTGTGAAGATCTAGATCTGCAGGTGTGAGGGTGTGAAGATCTAGATCTGCAGGTGTGAAGGTGTGAAGATGTAGGTCTGCAGATGTGAAGGTGTGAAGATGTAGATCGGCAGATGTGAGGGTGTGAAGATCTAGATCTGCAGATGGGAAGGTGTGAAGATCTAGATCTGCAGGTGTGAAGGTGTGAAGATGTAGATCGGCAGATGTGAGGGTGTGAAGATCTAGATCTGCAGATGTGAAGGTGTGAAGATCTAGATCTGCAGGTGTGAAGGTGTGAAGATCTAGATCTGCAGGTGTGAAGGTGTGAAGATCTAGATCAGCAGGTGTGAAGGTGTGAAGATCCAGATCAGCAGATGTGAAGGTTTGAAGATCTAGATCTGCAGGTGTGAGGGTGTATATGATGTAGATCTGCAGATGTGAAGGTGTGAAGATGTAGATCTGCAGATGTGAAGGTGTGAAGATCTAGATCTGCAGGTGTGAGGGTGTGAAGATCTAGATCTGCAGATATGAGGGTGTGAAGATCTAGATCTGCAGGTGTGAAGGTGTGAAGATCTAGATCTGCAGATGTGAAGGTGTGAAGATCTAGATCAGCAGATGTGAAGGTGTGAAGATGTAGATCAGCAGATGTGAAGGTGTGAAGATGTAGATCAGCAGATGTGAAGGTGTGAAGATGTAGTATAACGGCTGCTTTTTTACGAAGAACCCTTCGCAGGCGCTCTCGGGAAAAAACATGAGGTGAATCATCCTGAAACTCCAAATTTCTCCAGGCATTTTGACGTTGTTTTTTTCCAGAAATCTCAGGCACTGCTGTCTTTGACAACGGTGTTTTTGATGTGGTTTGCCCATCCCAAATTTCGTGACTCCGAAAGCCTGGCTACTGGCTTGGTGGCCGTGGGAGCCTTGGTGAGGGAACCAGGGAGGATCTCTAATCGTTGGCACATATTAATATGTTTTTTTGGGGGGGATGATATGGGATTATATGGGAATTATATTAATATTATATTATGTGTTATATTCTATAATTATATTAATCATATTATATTATGGGATTAATATTCTACAACTGTCATTATGGGTTCAAAAATGATATGACAACTGCGATACCATGGGATCATAATAACCATTCAGTATTAATATCATTATGGAATTATAGGGACGTATATGGAAGATATATCACTATCAGATTATCCGCATGATTTTGGAATTAATATTAAATTATGGTATTACTATCCCATGATCAAAATATACGTATATGAAATTGTGGGGTCACTATCATGTTCATTATCATTTTTGGGATTAAATCATTATGGTTTTACTATCACCATTTTAAACTATACCATTTTGGGGGGATTGTATGGAATTACCCGGGACCATTATGGGATTGTTGTAGAAGGATTGCCACTTGGCAATCAACCACGGAAATGGGAAATCCTCTATAGGCGGAGGTTTATAGCTGGGAAAATCGTCTACAAATGGGGGATTTCATGGGATTTCCACTTGTTATGTTTGATTACATTGATTACCAGAGGGTAATACTACAAAGTGGGCCCCCAAAATATTATGAATTGGTTTGCAAAGCTAATGGACTTAATGGATATACATGTCATGTACCATAAACTATAGTTAAACTTATAAATTTGGCCATCTCGGGGTCCCACAAATTGCGGGTATTAGTGGGTAATTTGCTGGTTGATTATGTAATACACATGGAATCCACATGGAAAAGTTGCGTCTCAACTCAGTTGGTTTGCAACTATGCCCAGGATTTATGAGTATATATCTATAGTTACAGGCACCTTATGTGTTTTTGAAACTTTACTGAACCGACCTGGGAGGGCCCAGTTCTGTATGGTGGAAATCTATGGTGAATATCGGCACCATACAGATGATCCATGCTTTATCTTAGGCCAACTCACACACACACACACTAGACAAGAATGGATCATTATATGATCCGGCAGGAACTGAATCCTGAAACATGCAGATTAGATACGAAACAATGCAGGTACGTTTACACGGGTCCCGGGGGGGTGTCTTCGGTGGCCACCGACCCCCCCGCGACCCCGGTGGCCCCCTGCATTGAATTTAGAATTAGAAAGGGAGAGGACAAAGGAAGAAAAAGAGAGAGAAGTTTTACATCTATTTAGATGTTACACACACACACACCCGGCCGGAGCCGGGTCAACCCTGAAAGGCAAGAGGAAGAAAAAAACGGACACACGACGGGCAGACGGCCAAAAACAGCGCAGGGGGGGGAGGGGAACAGACGGACCTCCGGAACCAACCTACACGGCGAAACGGACCTGACCAAAAACAGCGCACACACCTAAACCCCACGACACATTACGGAGAGGCACGCGGGGAAAATTAGGGACCAAATGGGGGACTAGTTAATGACAGGCAAGAAAACCAAAACAATTAATTAAAGACAGGATTCAGCTCCTAAACCTAAAGGTCGTGCGTTGTGCCAATCCAGGCCCGTGTTCCAGTCAGCCACAAGGGCATAAAACGGCTTTCAAGTTCCATCGAATTAGATGCACAAAATGTTTAACCTCACCAGACAACCATCAAAAGAAAGAATCACCACACCTGAAAGTCGTGTGCCTGCCTGATTCCTGTATCAAATGCTGTTGTCATGAATCGTCAAAAGCAGCTGCGAAAAGGAGAAGGTTTCTGATTGTTTCGAACAACGTCACGCTTGAAGAATGCAATTCACGAGGATCACAAGGGACAATAGGAGCCGCGGGACTCTCGAAAAGGCTGATAAACCGCAAGGCTGATTGTTGCCCTTTACTTAAACGAATCACTAAATTAAAATGTGTAAATTCAATCCTCCTTCAAATTTCAGCTACGAAATGGGGAGGACTTGGGCTACAGTACAGATTGCCAGCCAGCATTTTTTTGTACAAACAGGAGGGGTTGTGCCCCCCATTTTGTATTTGGAATCATTTTGTAGTTGATTCCTTTCGTTGCATGCATTTTCATTTTGTAGTTATATATGTTGAGTCAGTTGAAGCATGCAACATAAAATTTCATTAGCATGGACACAAACAGATCATGAAGCTACAGAATGCCATCTAACAAACCGCACGGGGTCAACACTTGATCCAACTAAATTCAATCATTGACAACTACAAAATGTTCTCCGAATTTATGTTGGTCGGAACTTTGGATGGCAAAGACCCAACTACAAAATGTCATTGGGAAAAATCATGTTAGAAATTCGGACGTTCAGCTATTTTTTTGACTTCAGATGCATTGGATTTTGTAGTACTGGTTTTGAATTATTTTCCGAGCCAGAAAGAGTTATGTTCTTCATTTTGTAGCTGAAAAAAAAGTAAATGCACTTGCATTTTGTAGTTGTGCACCCTGTGCATTCCGCTCTGTATCTACCAAAACCGTCTGCACAACTCCTCCCCCCTTATCTGAACCCTGATTAAATTCAGAAGTCAGGACAGTCATCACTCACCCTAAAAAGGGTTGCCTCAAATGGCTCCATGGCACCATGTCGGAGCCACCATGGAAATCACACTAGACAAGAATGGATCATTATATGATCCGGCAGGAACTGAATCCTGAAACATGCAGATTAGATACGAAACAATGCAGGTACGTTTACACGGGTCCCGGGGGGGTGTCTTCGGTGGCCACCGACCCCCCCGCGACCCCGGTGGCCCCCTGCATTGAATTTAGAATTAGAAAGGGAGAGGACAAAGGAAGAAAAAGAGAGAGAAGTTTTACATCTATTTAGATGTTACACACACACACACCAGCAAAAACTCCGGTAGATGATTTGATACACGTGGGCATTTCGCCGGGGGTGAAAGACTAAGATCTTACAATCGGTATCTAGTTCTCAGCCGCAGTCAAATTTGAGAACATGATTCGCATAAAACGGCGTGTTTGTGAGGGTCATCACTGTTGCTTACCATGAAGTGGAACTCAAAACCGAGCTCCGATGAGCGACTTCATGGTCCCATCCTTTGAGGAATTATCTATGGCTTACTGCCGATGATCTTTCATCGAGAGAGTATAGATCCCAACTTGCTTCCGGCGGCATCGGCCATTCTGGCTGGCTTTGGGCTTTTTCAATGCGACCCCTTAGGCCACTGGCTGTGAGAAAGCGCGAAAGCGTTATGCTTTACTTTGGAAGTTCAATTTGTGGTAGTTTCTCTAAAAGGCTAGGGTGGCTATCCTTGCTAAAGTCGGCTTGCCCATTGGGGTAGACTCTGGTTCCCAGCTCCTGAAAAGACATCATTGTTATGGGGGGGGCACTCTTGTGGCAATCCTAGCAGTTCACCAAAAATTAGATTTTGGTCCTGTTTTTGGTGCCATCCATGGGTGGCTGACAATTTTTTCAAGCAACCCATTGAAACAAGGGTGTTCAATGTTTTTCTTTTAAACAAGTTGGGCATCACCTGAAATGGTAGCGAAAAAATCCCGGTTTTTCACGGTTTGAGGCCCTAGCTGAGGGCGATCTGCCAGTGTTTCTATAGGATTCCCATGGATGAATTGAAGCATATTGAAACAACATTTTTTTGGCTACAAACAAAATGACCAACTCCCATTGGACTTGGTGTGATGGAAAGACTGGATAACTGCTGATTGGTTCGAATCTCGATCATTTTTGCTGCTGAAATCCCGAAATTGGGGAAGTGACAGGTGTGTGGACGGATTCTGCATGGCATTTGTTGCTGGTGCCCTATGTTCACTTCTGTGCGCTCTCGGCCATTTCCCTGGATAGCCATGCTGGACATTGTGCCCTTTGATCGCGACCATGACCTGCTGGTGGAAGGGGAAACCGGCAATGTCCGGTAACACTGAGCTGATTTGCTGGGGGAAATTCCTGGGACCTGGGACCTTTCACCTGCCATGATTGTGGATCGACATCACTTAAGGATTCCACCAACCTTTCGGGACATACCCAAGAAAATTCGAACAGGATTCATGGCATAGCGCTTACCGGGTCTGCTGTTCGGTACCCTACACTCTGAACTGAGGGATATGAGTTTTTTTTACCAATAATAATTGACCCGTATAACCACCCCCGTACCTATAACCACCCATGACGACCCATAACCAAACGGTATTTCTGAAGATAAATACCAACAATTTACCCGTAACCATCCAACAAAAACAAATCAATTTCTGATAGGGTACTCATCATGAGCCATAATGGATCGTAATGTATTCAATAGCAGGTGATTCTAAAAAAAACATGATAATATATACATATATAATACATATGATATGTATAATACACATATATATATATCCGTAGTCTGGGCACCCCGTGACGAATCCGGAATTTACCCACAATTTCCCTGCAATTACCCATCATTTGACTTTGGGTATTTTTGCCGAATAATTTAATATATATATATATATACATAATACATACATATATATTACATATATTATATCAATGTTTTTTAGAAGAAATCAAATGGCTTGTATTCGATTTCAATCGGCTTATCCATTTCTGAATACCATAGGCCGAAATTTCGGGAGACTTGCAATGCCGGGATGGTGCAACATGTGTTGGACTTGATGGATGTTGCGTTGTACTGTGCTGATGACTTCTGAGCAAAATCCATCACCTTTATCTTCATATGATGCTATATACCGTACATATATATATATATTTGGGAATAACCAAAACAACCAACCTAGTAGATAAAAATAAACAATCATCACCTAGGTTCTGTTTCCTCCCCCCAAAAAGAAGGTAATGAATTTTCATATATATATATATATATAGAGATAATTATACATACATACAGTGTATACATATCGGACGACTACATACACTCTAGACTCATACTGTACTATATATATATGTACGTAGATGCATATGACCATTATTTTTGAAGTGACATGACCAATACAACGGAGACGGAGAGTCAAATATTCTAAGTGGGGTTCACCACCCGCCCCTGCCAGCAGCTGTCACCGTCGTCTTGCCCCGTCTCACACTGACACATATTTTTTTCGCGGTGAATTTTGGAGTAATACAGACACTAGTGTATATATATATATACACATTTATATATATAGTATGTATGTAAATCTTAGAGTGATGTTCAACTGGTTCGAGTGAAACCATTTTCAGATTTTGACTGTAACAGACGAAGAGTTGAAAGACGTGGTTCTTTTGGCACTGTTTGAGCCAGAGCCATAGCAGCGGGTATACCCTTTGGTACTCCCTCGCTTGGAGATGATTTCCAGGCATCTCAGTTTTTTCCGTAGAACTTGTGATGTCCAAACCAGGTGAGATTACCAGTGGGTAGATTCGGAGATCTTTTCATCATGGCCTCGGGTCCAGAAAAAGTCGGGCTGCAGAGGCTGACAAGTCTTGGAGAGATTAATGAGTCGATTCACATGTAGCTTTAGATGGGGAGAGCATGGAAAAACATAAGTTTGTTTTTTTTGCCAGTATGAATATGTAAACTTGGAATCGCGCATGGAACGCAAACAGGTTTGTAGATTGATTTTCATGTTGGAATTGCAATATGTGGGATGCAGTTTAAATTCAGAATTGTTATCTGCGAGTTTTTTCCATTTATCAAGGGACCAGATCCAAAATACCTTGCCCTCCGCGTCCGACCCTATCTATTTAAAACACATATGTTTGCACATGTGCGTATTTGGCAGGTACCCGCAGCTCCGTATATAAGCATACGTAGACCTAGCCTTCAATACAGTACCTCCAACAACTTGCAAAAAGTATCGGGAAACTATGGGGCAAAACACCCTTTCTAGCGGGTACAAGCTGAGGGTCTAGGTATCCAACTAGGTATCCAACTAGACAACACTAGCTAGTTAGCTATATCCCAATTATACATATATATATATCCATAAATGGGAGAGTATCCGTATCCCATTTTATGTATATATCCCATATTATATACATATCCCATCATCATATTCCCTTGGGAAGGTCATCTGAGATGCCAGCTGGGTATTATCTTTTTTCTTCGTGGGATAAGCGCTGTGCTGGAGATGACATAACGACCTACCACAGCAACATTTCAGTAACATAATATAGTTTATATACATATGTGTATTAAAAAAAGAAAAACATATATAAAGAAAATAAGTAACATAAGTAACAGAAGTAACATATTTTTCTACACATATATTTGGAACATTGACTTGTTCTTGGAATTGCCTCCATTTTTCTTGGGCGATCCCGTAAAATGTGGAGCCGCAAGCGCCGCAGGTGATGGGCTTGGAGCCGCCTGCTCTTCTGGTGACCAGCTGGGGATCCGAGAGACTTTCGCCACGATTTCAGCACCCAAAAGTTCGGGGATTTGAACAGCACGAAAGTTCGGGATGGTTTGTCAGTTGGATAGTTACGGATAGTTGGTAAGTTGGATGTAGTGCGAAAGACGAGTTCTGTAACGGGTTTTTCTGTTTGTGAAGAGTATAGCTACAGTTGGATGGGTGACACGCAGTGTGGCTTCCACTCATCTTAGCAGGCAGACAATTGGCATGGAAGCACCACAACTGTCCAGAAGGAACAACACATTTTTGTAAGATACAGTAACTATCTCAGCATCAGCAAACACCTATTCCTGGGGTCATTTGTCACCTGCCAGTTTCCTGGCAGTTGTGCCAATTTTGTGACATCATTTTCCCTTGAGTTCCGTATAGACCCAGCCCATAGATGTCCTTTCTCGGACTGCTGGGAAAGAGGGGTCACCCCCATTTGGCATGTGCTGGGACTGTGTTTCCCAAAACATGGAGAAGGACAATGCAATCTGTCACCCCCAAAGATAGTTTTCAGTTAAATCAAATAACTAGGTTTACGATCGTTGAAATGGTAGATGCTTTGACATAGGTAGACGTGGTATTTTTCCCAAACAGAACATTGTTGAGTAGTTATATCATTACTTCTCTAATATCATGGTTGGTTTCCACGTGATGTCCCAATCGAACGCTAAATATCCACGCAAACCGAAACCTTACTAAATACCACCAAAACAAAACAAAACACACCAAATATAATCAAATACCAAATATTAAAATGCCATCAAATACCATCGACATATATAACATGTCAAGAACCTATACCAGATACCATCAAATACCACAGTTATCAGATCTATATCTATCCCCAAGTTCCATATCATGATTCCCAAATACACCTGATGTATCCCCGCAGTTATCATGCCAAATACCATGAAATGGCCAAATATGATTGTCCTGTGATCCCCTGAATTGATACCACACATATCCACACATTACCACACGTATCAGATACCAAATAGCATACCCCGTAATTGTCAGCAAATGGGGATGAGTCAAAACCATTCAACCAATCCCCCATTCCCCTTGCTTCCCCAGTTTCTCAACCCCCGGGCCCCGGCATCCCCCGGCATGCCCCATTCCCCAACTTCCACGGTGAAAATTCCCTTTTTTGGACTGTCTATCCCACTACAATCTCAAAAAAATGGCAGTGTTTCATAGGAATCCCAATACTTACATCCACAGGTCCCCTTATATCCCCCTTATGTTCCCTTTATATAAATTGCTCGCATAAGTCACATAGTCACATTCGTCACAGTAGACATCAAATCCGCATGAAACATATTTGGACGCAGTATGGAAAATCTTGAAATAGTGATAACATATGACAAGCTCGTGATAACATGGCTCTTCTATCGACAACTAGTGGTAATGGTGATAATTAACAAGTTTATCATGATTGAACATGGTTTTTTATTCTGATATCTTCTGGAAAATTACCACAACAAACATCCCAGTGACATTCAAATACCATTCACCCCCAGTGGTGTCTCGTTGAGGCCTGGCCAATAGGGCCGGCAGCTTGTCACCGGAGGAGTTGATTGCGGCTCTGAGGCGGACCGGAGGGACTTCACTGGGCCATCCACAGTGATCTATGCCCCTGGTAAATCGGATCCTTTGTATTCCCAAATGCTCCATGTATGATATGTTTACCTACATTTGGGTGATTTTTAGGGTAAATGTTGGTAAATATTCCATACATGGAGCATTCGGGATTGGCAAATATTTCTATGCCTGATCCTGGAATATCTGGAATTAGTTGCAGCATCAACGCAGAAAAAAAGTCGATATTCCCTAAATTTGGTTTCAACATGTTTCAACATCACATGGTTTCATGATTCCGTTGTATCTCAAGCCGGTCCATGGGAGTGTGAACCAACGGAATCATGGGGATTCGAATTCGAAAGTTGAAGCCGAATGGATAATTAAAAGACCCATTCACGGCTGGTGGTTTTTGGATATTTTTGGTGGTTACCCTCTGGTAAACTAACATAACTATGGAAAATCACCATTTTCAATGGGAAAATCCATTATAAATGGCCATTTTCCATAGCTATGTTAGTTTACCAGAGGGTAAGCCATGTTAAGCCAGCGACCATCTGATGCTGGGGTGATGGGAGGCCTCTCACTGCCAAGAGCATCAAGTTGGCCGGAGGCGAAGTACCGAAGGAATTCATCGCCGCATGACGACGACTTTGAAGATCCCCTTGGGGGACCCAGATTGGGATGTCGATATTGATAACTGGTGGGTGGTTTCAAACATGACTTTTATTCCCCACCTGCCAGGTGAGGGTTGTTAGATTTTATCAGAGCTGTTCTCCTCCTCCTCCGCCTCCGCATCCTCCTCCTCCATCTCCTCCGCCTCCTCCTCCTTGCAGTCCAGATCCCATGTGGGCACAGCCGGACCTCCACCGTGAGCGCCAGATCCCAGTGCGCACTGCCGGACCTCCACCGCGAGCTCAAGATCCCAGTGGGCACTGCCGGACCTCAACCGCAACTTCCAGGTTGCAGTGGGCACTGCCGGACCTCAACCGCGACTTCCAGATCGCAGTGGGCACTGCCGGACCTCAACCGCGACTTCCAGATCGCAGTGGGCACTGCCGG